CCTTTCTAGTTATGAAAACCCAATCCTCCATAGTCCTACCGTCCTCCCACACACCTATACACATATACAGATTCACCCTCCCTATCATATACGATTATACCTTATTTTATTAGCACCTTCCACATTTATTTCAGCTAAAGTTGTAGAAATTTATCAATAGGACATTCGACACTATATTTATCTAATGGCCAATCCTCAATTGCTGCAGATAATGAAAAAAAATAATGATGACATTTTGAAAAAAAGACAGAACATTTAAAACTTTATTTTTGTCCCACAGCTCATCACCTCCTTTCAGCAGAGTGGTTACCAAGGATTATGTCGAATGATCTGTCTGCCATCTATTTCCTGTACTTGGGAGGGGTAAGAGTACTTATTTCCAGAAAAAAAAAAATGTTTTAAAAGACAGTCAGTTGGAAGAGAAGAAAAAAGTAGCCTGGATAATCTATAAACTGGCCAATTAGTCTCTGAAAAAAATCAAGAAGTGTTTTTTCATTAAGGAGTTAGAAGTATCGTTTCCAACTTGTGATTTTTACAAATATTGGCTTCTACTCAAGCTGGATTTATAAACAGATTAAAAAGAAGGCCAGAATTAAGTGGAAATCTGAGGAAATGTCACCTACTCTGAATCACTTCCAAGCTTCAGGAGTATAATAAGATGTTGGTTTGGGCACAGCAACTTTCTAACTTCTGTGCACTGGTAAGATACTGGCCATAAAAACTCAGAATTATCCAGGAAGAAAAAGCCCATTAACAAAAAAGAACAAAAGAGAAGAAAGGACATATTTATGCTGCAAAGTTAAATATCACGTGAGCTTTTCTGAAACACTCGAACTTAAAAAAGCAAGCATACAAAATGTATTTCAAAGCTTTTAAGTGTAAGTTAATATGTTCCATGTGCCATTTTGTATTTTGAAAGAATACTGCAAGAAATGAGCTGTCGTTAAAAGGACTTGTAAACTTGCAGATATCTCTACAGTTCTTTATTCAATTTTTAAAAATCCAAATTAATTTAGCCCTATAAGGTTTAAGAGAAAAAAAATTTAAACTAACTTTAGTCACCAGAAACATACCACACTATTTGTGCTAAACTCTTCAGTTTCATAAAAGAAGCCAAATCTAATCTTAGGAACATGAGACATTATGGAGGGAGCAGCTGAGGCTTCAGGAGGGACTAGGCTACAGCAGGAAACACTTGTCATACCACGCCCCCTACCATCAGACCACCAGAAACACAATTACAGGTCTGGGAGCCTTGCTGCTTTTAAAGGAGTTTCATCAAGAAGTTTTCCTAATTTCCTGGTAAATTTGTGCCTGGGCACATAAACAAAAGGAAGACGATATAAAATTAAATCACTATGTACCAAACTCAAGAAATCCCTGAAGACCATGATAAAGTTAAGACTTGTCTATCCACCTTTCAGTAATTCAGCCTGAAGTGTGGCTTACAATCATTCCTCAAAATGAAACAAATCAAATAACCCAGTTTACCATATAAATAAATCATAAGAGGTCCCAAGACAGACACAGTCAGTAGGGGTTAACGGTAGCTAATAATGACTGTTTTTGAAGAGGACTGGTGGGTGAAGGGGCCAATGAGTTATGACTGCTACCACGCAGACAAAACATGAGTTGTCAATCAGCTTTTTAAAATGTTGGCATGTGTCTCCCTGCTACGAGATACTCATTCTCAGTATTGTGTTTGTGCCTAACTCACTTCAAAATGTATTGCTGCCAGGCCCCATTAGCGATTATCAGATGCATTTTTATTGCATGATTTGGTTTTCTAAATAAACAGATGAAAGACCTGTAGGTAGCCAGTGTTGTCTATGATGGTCTCCCCCATACTAAGTTTCCTCTGACATTCTAATCTCTCAATCCTTTGGCTGTATTTTGAAATAAAACAAAGAGTTAAATGATATATTCACTCTCTATTCCAGACTGGATGCAATTGATTTTAACTGACTAAATTATCTGATCTCTGCCAAGAATTTTATTTCATTAAGAAAATGATATTATAGAGCATCTGAGATCATAGAGCAGACTAAACATAATGCCAAAGGAGTTCTGAGAATGCTCCACAGTGAAGGTTTGATTATTTGCAGATGGAATATGAAAAAAAAAAGAGAAAAAAATCAGATCCCAGGCATTAGCCTAACCAATCTTGGTATCACCGCTGCCGACATCACAGCACAAAGTCAAGAAAATAACTGATTTTCTAAGCCGAAATACTTTTTTTTTCAAGGTACTAATTACTCTTCTTCCTAGAAAGTAATATTTAACTGCCACTATCCAGAACAAAGGGAAAGGGAAATGTTGGTACCACAATAAGCTCTAGCATGTCAACTATCACTGCTGACACGATTTGGCTAGTAGTCAAGCACTCACCAAGGAACTAATTTAAATCAATCTCCTTTGAGAATGCCAATTGTTTGGTATGCGCAACAATTGGTGTAGGATCAATCAGTAGACATGAGATCAATTAAAACCAGCTTAAGCCTGTGAAGAGGGACAATTCACACAACCTGAGTTAGATCTCTATTCATTTCAATACTCTCACAATGCAAGCCTTAAGCTTCCTTGCAAAGCAGAAAAGCTACTATCACCCTACACTGTCTAGCCAGCCCTTTAAGTAGTTCCACTTTTAATTAAAAACACAGTACACTCTTTGTTGGCACAGATAGTGTGGTCACTTTTAAGGACCGCAGTTATTTTAGCCAGAAACTTGGGATTTGGGAAGGGACATCTGTTAAGCAAACACACACACACACACACACACACACACACACATTTTGATACTTCTTTTTTCTTTACGACTTTACCAATTTACATGTACTTGAAAGCATTTGAATTTTATTAAATTGAAACATTTATCTGGGAAAAGCTACTGTTGCACTCTTAAGAACTGGGCTTCTAAATGTCAGCAACTTGGGGATGTCGCCAGTAACTGCTGTGAGATTTTGCTAAAGCAGCTTTGAAACAAATAGGTTTTGCGTCAGATACCTAAGCAGGCATAGGCAGTACTTTGGAGATGGCACTGGGAAGAAAAGCATGCAGTATCACTTCTGGCCGCAGGAGTGCTGTAATATCATTCTCCACCACATAGCATGTCTGCATTAAGTTCCACCAAAACAGTGCCTGCTTCTTCCCTGGCCAACCACAATGGGACAAGCAGTGTGGATCAGAAAGACATCACTGAATTAGTAGGTCATGTAATACACAAGAACTTGACAAACAATTTTAAATATTTCTGTATTTTGAAAACTTTAAGCACTTCAGTCTCTTCAAATAGACAGGAACTTCTACTTATAAGAGGGCGAAAAGCCTTTCCCAACACACTTTGACCACAGAGTAATCAAACATTGCCAGCTCTACTAAGTGATACCTTGAAAAAAAAATACTGGGGTGGAGAAAGGAGGCAGAGAAGATGTGAAGGAGACAGAAAGCGACTTTTGCAAGACTATTATCAATATCAAACTTTCATGGCCTTTGCGAAGAAATTTCCCCCTAGTATGTTTATTCAGAAAAACTTCTGAAAATAAGAATTTTCCAAATGTCCGAGATGAAACAGTGAGAGAAATGAGGGCGAGAGAAAGAGCTATTCTTCTTATAAACCACAGATTCATAGCGTCAGTTGGACAGCAGAGGTTGTGGAAATCACACACACTAGTCACCTTATCTTGCCCTCAGGCCAGCCAACCTTGAGCCGCGCGGGTAGGTGAGAACAGCTTAACGACGTCCTAAAAATCTATAAAAAATTAGGGAGCAAAAAGAAAAACTCTCCAAAATCAGGATGCAGGACCGGAGATTCCATAAAACGAGCAAACCATACCACAGGTCGAGTGAGACGTTTGTATCACAGAAAAATCAAAATCTGTTAGCCTCAAGACAAATTCTAACTGCGCAAGAGTCCAAATTACGAGACCAAGACAGAAGAACTCTAAGGGGCTGCCGTGAACCTTCCATGAGCGGGCAATGCAAGGTGAGTGTGTATACTGGGCGCGGGGTGGGGGCGGTGTGTATTATGGTTTGCATTTAAATCCTTCAGAAGACTTAATTGTGTTTAGCAGCCCTTCCCCTAAAATGCCATTGGATTAGCTGCAGCCGCGGCAGGACTCAGAGACAAATACGGGCGCACTGAATTTTCAGGAAAGCTAGCTCTCTGAAACCGTTCTGGAGGCTTCCACTCGCCTCCCCAAAGCGCACACAGGTGATGGAGGCGGGGCGGGTAAAAAGCCGCAAGTGAGTTTCACTGAGAACAGAAACCTCTCAGAAATAGCTACTTTTGAGGGAAGTAAACAGAGAGGGCAAAGTCGGGCCTGTCCCTAAAACAACACTCAGCAAGCCTAGCGTACCCTCAGAGTTGCTGCTCAGTGCAGAAAGTTCGGTACATCATCTCATTTAGTCTTAGGGTCCAGAAGAACAAATCATTGTTACTCTTTTCCTGGAAATGTAGGTCCTCCACCTCAACTTGGTACTCCTCCCTAGCTCTCTCGCTCCCGCTCTCTCCCCGCCGCCCCCTCCCCCTCAATACCCACAGTACTAGACTGTGTCCAAAGCGACCTGGGGTCAGGATTGGGGGCGCACGTGGGAGGAAAAGGTAAAGACATTAGCTGCAGGGGAGATGACTGAAAGGACTAAAAAGAGAAAGACAAAAAGAACAAGAAAAATGGATGCCAGATGAAAAATGAGACCGAAAGAGAGGAGTTCAGAAGTAGAAGCTCAGCAGTTAACGTAGGTAAGGACCGCACCATTAAGCCCTGAGCGCCCGCAGGACGCTCGGCTCACCCGGCTCGCCGCGCGTCTTGTTCCGGCTCGCGGCGCCTTCTGAGGACTGAAAAGACAGAGCGTTCGGCAGAGCTCCCGGGCGGAAAGCGGGGAGCGGTGGTGCACAAGGGTTGGGTGGAGGGCACGGTCCTGCCCACCTGAGCCCCGGCTCCAGTGCCGCCACCCGCGCCCCCTCCGCCGACCCCACACGCCTCCGGCAGAGCAGAACCCACCTCGCTTACTGCGTCTCCATCGATAGCCTTGGCAGTGGCTGTAATCCATACAGTTCAGGATGATGAGGGCAAAGGAGAAGAGACGAAACTGCATCTGGGCGGTCGGGCGGGGGACAGACGCCTCTCAAAGTCCGGGAACTGAAGGGCTCATCCGAGGAGCCGGCGCCTACCGCGCCGCTAGGGAAGACGCCAACGGAGAGTCACCACTAACCCGGGGGGCCCACACTCGTCAGTTCGGAGCAGTCAGCATCTCCCCGCCTTGAACCTGAGAGACCAAGAGGAGAAGCGGGGTGGAGAGAGGCACGGGAGGCAGCTGCCTCTTCACGCGTCCCAATTTAAGAAGGGGAGGGAGGGGGGAAGCGAACCCACTGCCTGGCACGAGCCGCGGAACAGCTTAACCCCGAGCGCACAGCTGCCGGCAACTTGAAGAGAAAGGTGATTACAATCAGTGAATTAGCAACCTCTGTGGACGTTTAGGCTCCGACCCGGGGGAAAGGACGCTGCGCGGGCGCTCCAGGAAAAGAAGAGCTCCACAGCCCCCAAGGGTGCAGGGGGAAGGGCGCGCTCTTCGGCCCTTTGGCCCCACAGTGGGGTACCCAAGCGCCGTGGCCGCGGTAGCGGGGCGCGGATCGCCTACCGTGAGCACTTACGTCTCAGGCGGTGCGGCGTGCCTAGGCGCGGCGCTCCATCCCGTGCTCGGAAGCGAGCCGCCCCGCTAGCACGTGGGCTGGGGAAAAGTTTGCCGAGACCGGCCGGGAGCGCGTGGCACCTCCGGGATTCGGGCGGCTGCTGTGGGTTGAAAGTGCGCGGAGAGTCCTCTGGACTGACCGCGCCTAGCAGGAGCGCGGCTGGGCGGGCGGGTCCGCAGCCTCTGGGATGCTGCGTCCCCGCCGGTGAGTGTGATCCTCCGGCGAGGGGCACGCCGGCTCTCACTCTCTGGGTCCCTATCCAACTGTGCGGTTTCCCGAGCTCTCTCCACAGCCACTTCACAGCTAAGGTTTCTCCGTTTCCAAGCCGTGGGAGACAGAACGCTCCCGGGAGGCCGAAGGGATGGAGAGCGCACTTTCCGTTGGAGATGCAGCCGGGCTGAGGCTCGGGATGCTTCTATAAGTAGGTGGTGCTGTGGTCCAAGGCAACTAAGTCAGGGCTGCCTCGGAGTTCCTGGGTCCTAAAGCCAGAAACTCTCGGGTTTCCCTGAGGTCCTAAAGAGCGCTGACAGCCTCCAGCGAGCCTAACCCCAGGCGAATCCCCTCCGGGCTTTCCTGGAGTGGATGGCTAAACTGAAGAGCAGATGAAGAGGAGACGCCCCCTGACTGTGCTGGGCCCGACAGTCCAGCTGTCTTCTCTAGTGCTCAAGGCTTCCTCTCTAGCGCTCCGGGGTCGGTTGCCACCTCAGCGCCAACCTTCCTGCAGGAATATCTGACTGGCTGATGGCTTCTCCTACACCTTCCTTCAAGAGCTCCTGCCTGTACTACTGCTTCTGAAGCGGAATTTAAACTTGAGCCGCATCCCTAAAGATATCACACCTCTGCCACTTTTAGATTTACGTCTTGGCTTTGTTTGATACGAAGATCTGTTAGCGCGGCTGAAATTAAAACGCGTCCTCAGTTTAGGGAGTGAAAAGCGTATTTCCACTCATTTGCTTATCCTCAGAAGTAGTATATCTTGACTTTGTCTCTCCTCCAGAAAAACTTACAAAAACCTCTGATCCCTTGCTTCCGGTACTCTAGAAACTGGGACCTTGCTTATTCCAAGAAAACTTCAGTTTCTTCTGAAGTATTTCTCATTCATAATCCTCCTCCCTCCCCCACCCTCAAAGTCTCCTGAATTGAACTTTTAGGTGCCTTGAGTTTGGGGAATAATCTTATTTAACAGTGTTACATTAAATACACTTGATGCTATCTGATTTCGTTCTGGTGAAATCTGTCCAGAATTTTCATTCTGTTCTGAATTCAATACTGTAGGAATAAATGTACTTACTCCCTAGGCAAAAGAGAAGACTTTATACTGCTAACCATGGCAGTATGAATGTTTGGAAATATGACCAGTTACCTTATTAATATGCTAGCATTTTTGTACCATTTAAATTTTCTTTTCTATGCCTTCAGTTTCAGAAGATGTTCAGAAGTTGGGAGATTTAAGATAATCATATAGAAACAGTAAGAATATTAGGATACTCATGTTGATTAACTGTTCCATTGATGCCTTTCCACAACTATTTTATGGATATCACTATTATATAGCAATATTTATGTGCTAAGTATTTCAGTGTTACTCACTTTATGTGTTTGTGAGAACACCCAAATAAATCTGAGTTGAAGTCTCTGGTCCCATTTCCCAGATAAAAAAAATTCAGTCGCTGAGATTGGCCCAAATGGTACAAATAAAATTGACAAAGCCCATAACAGATAGTGGATCAGGTTCTCAGCTTTTGGAGTCCTTGATTTTTGTCACAGAATTTGAAAGCGATTGGAAATATTTCAGTTTAGAGAGTGGCCCAGTATTTGACATGATGACTTGCTATTTCAGTGAAATATCCCTCAATCATCATAAATACCATTTCTCTTTAGCAAGAGAAAACTCGACAGCTGCATGTAAATCAATGAAGTTAGAACACTCCCTCACACCATACACAAAAATAAACTCAAAATGGCTTAAAGACTTAAACATAAGACAAGACACTATAAACCTCCTAGTAGAAAACATAGGCAAAACATTCTCTGAATAAATCTTAGCAATGTTCTCCTAGGGCAGTCTACCCAGGCAATAGAAATAAAAGCAAAAGTAAACAAATGGGACCTAATTAAACTTACAAGCTTTTGCACAGCAAAGGAAATCATAAGTAAAACAAAAGGACAACCTACCGAATAGAGAAAATAATTGCTAGGAATGCAACTGACAAGGGTTTAATTTCCAGAGTATATAAACAGCTCATACAACTTAGTAACAACAACAAAAAAAACCAAAGAACCCAATCCAAAAATGGAGAGAAGACCTAAACAAGCGATTCTCCAATGAAGACCTACGAATGGCCAATAGGCACATGAAAAAATGCTCAGTATTGCTAATTATCACAGAAATGCAAATCAAAACTACAATGAGGTACTGCCTCACACAACTCAGAATGACCATCACTCAAAAGTCCATGAATGATCAATGCTGGCAAGGCTGTGGAGAAAAGGGAACCCTCCTACTCTGCTGGTAGGAATGTAGTTGGCACAGCCATTATGGAAAACAGTTTGGAAATTCTTCGAAAAACTAAAACTAAACTTACCATATGACCCAGCAATCCCACTCCTGGGCATATATCCAGAGGGAACTATAATTTGAAAAGATATGAGCACCCCAGTGTTCATAGCAGCACTGTATACAATAGCCAAGACATGGAAACAACCTAAATGTCCATCAACAGATGACTTAACAAAGAAGTTGTGGTATATTTATACAATGGAATACTTCTCAGTGATAAAAAATAAAATAATGCCATTTGCAGCAACATGGATGGACCTGGAGATCATCATTCTAAGTGAAGTAAGCCAGAAAGAGAAAGAAAAATGCCATATGATATCACTCATATGTGGAATCTAAAAAGGAAAAAAAAAGAAAAAAAGAGGACACGAATGAACTCATCTCCAAAACAGAAACAGACTCTCAGACATAGTAAACAATCTTATGGTTACCTGGGGAAAGGGGGTGGGAAGGTATAAATTTGGGAGTTTGAGATTCACAAATGTTAACCACTATATATAAAAATAGATAAAAAAACGAATTTCTTCTTTATAGCATAGAGACCTATGTTCAATATCTTGTAATAACCTTTTATGAAAACAAATATATGTATATAGATACATGACCTGGGACATTATGCTGTACACCAGAAACTGACACATTGTAACTAACTATACTTCAATAAAAAAGACAAAAACGTACCATTTCACCCATATACTCACATATGCATACACCAAAGTTACTGCACTTCTGAAGGAGTTAAATCCATGAGAGAACAAGAGTCTTCTCTAAATAAGCCCTCTGCCTTTCTGTACAGTCTCGAGACCCATTCAAGATTAGTGGTCATCAGTGTCTTTTACAATATTTAAAGACAAAATTAAGCACAAGACCAAGTAGATCTAGCTCTACCATTAGCCACCTGGGTCACTTTAGACAATTCTCTGGATCTGTTTCCTTGTCAGTATTTTTAGGAAATTAGAACAAGATCTCTTTCACCCTACCATGTTCTGGTTTTGTTATCAATTTTCTATTTCTGTCAAGAAGTTGGAGAGGGGGAGGATAGTAGAGCTTAGTAGGGGAGGGTATAGCTTAGTGGTAGAGCAGATGCCTAACATGCACAAGGTCCTGGATTTAATCCCCAGTACCTCTATCAATACGTACATACATACATACATAATTATCTTCCCCCTCAAAAGAATTTTTTTTAAGTTAGGTATGGACTCTAACCAGCATGTGAGGACAAACTCATCATTGATAAGTTTTCAATGTAAAAAGATGAGGGTTACCCATTGTCATCCTTAAATTTAGAGACTACTTTCAACCTTCTGTCCTCAAAGGATACTTTTCAAAGTTTTAATCATTTGGGTTGCACGGTTGGCATTTTTTTAACCAGAGATACTTTTCAGTTTAGTAATTTCCTAGATCCATTTCACAAAAAACAATTTTAACAGCACCTCTTCTGCTGAAGGTTGGTTAATGATCTTAACTCACGAATGAGCTGTGGGAGTAAAGAAGATTCCTAATTTCTTTCTCTACATGCTCTCTCTTGGTCTGTCTCTGCTTTTTAAAGGACACCAGGGAACTTCAAAAACCTATCACACTTAGTTCCTGGGGGTACTTAGAATGTCACACTTAATCTCTTTGGGCTAGTTTCTCGATAAAGCAGAGGATTCTTTTCTCCTTTTTTGCCATTCACTGAATATTTTTCCTGATTTCAAGAACCCAGGAATGTTCTTGCTACTAAAAAATACAACCCTAGCAGATCCTAAACTATCATTAACTTTAATCCCATATTTCTGCATCCTTTCATTTCTAAACTGTGAAAGTGTTGTTGAGGCTCAGCGCTCATGGTTTTTCCATCTTGGAGACTCAATGGACTTTTTCTTCAAACTGAGTTTAGATGGTGGTTGCATTAAATTCACTTTATAAATAGACATGTGCCTGGTGTCTGTTTATAGAGAAACATCCTGATGTGGTTGACATCATGCCACTTATTGGTGAGTGAATGGGTGGGGGATGATGGTATAGATGAGAAGCAACTTGGGTACTTTACTTTTTTGACTTATAATTCATTCATACAGCTAAAATTCAATCATTAATAAGGAGGCATACTGGGAAAAGTCTCTCTGCCAGCCAACCAGTTGTCCTTCTCAGAAACAACCAGTTATTCCTATACAGCCTTCTAGGTTTTGAGTATACGTCCAGAGATGTGTTGTTCTTATCAAGAAAATGTGGGTATATACACATATATTCTTACTGCTGTCTTTTATACAACTAGTACAATACCATATTCACTGATCTGCACCTCGATTTTTTTCATACATCTTAGAGCTCATCTCGTATCAATCCCTAGAGAACTTTCCTATTCTTTTTATACAATCATGTATTATTTCATTGTGTGGTTGTATTTAGCCATTTGGGTTGTCTTTGTTCTTTTTTTCTGTTATAAGCAATGCTTCAATTAACCTTTTCATGGGTCTTTTTACCTTTGTATTATAAATTCCTTAAAGAAATAAAACATTGGATAAAACATTTCGTTATACCTTTGTGCATGTGTGTGTGTGTGTGTGTGTGTTTGTGTGTAGTCTTAAAATTGCCTTCCACAGAGGTTCTATCCAATTACAATGTATGAAGTGCCCATCTCACTATATACTGGCCAACATGTTTTGATCTTTGATATATTCAAGCAATTTCTATTTCATTTTCCATGAATTCTCCAAAGATATCATTTACCTTTGTTTCTGCTGTCACTCATGTAATGTTGCTTTGTAGACTATATGAAATAGAACACACTACTCTATGTAAAATAGATAACAAGGACCACTGTATAGCACAGGGAACTATATTCAGTATCTTGTAAAAACCTATAATGGAAAAGAATCTAGAAAAGAATATATATACATATATATG